AAATATATATATATATATATATATATATATATACTTATTTCACTGTAGTGCACCATTGAAGGGAATTCTTTTAAGAATTTGAAAGTTATATAATGTGCAATTTTATTATTTTATAACTGGAAAGCTTGTATTGTTCAACAAGAGTAAGTTTCTTTATTAAATTATTGTAAATATGGTTTATTTGTTGAAGCTCACAACATTTTGGAAACAGTTTTAAATTAAAAAGGAACAAAATGGCAAAGTTAAGAGATGAATTCAATTGTTTTTTGTTTATATTACTTCCTAATGAAGTAAGTGCTTGTTCTAAAATGAGGGAAACATTTTGCAAAATGAATTGTCTGGATTGTTAAATTAATCAACTAGCTAGTGGAATTTTTTTTTTTAAGTATTTATCCATATGTTGAGATTGGCTTGTTTCCACAAATATTTGTGATTAGAAATAGACTTGTAGACTGGTATCAAGCAATATGTTCTCACAAAGTTCAAGGCACTAGAAAAATGACTACATTACAGTTCTTTAACTTGTTTTGCTTGAAAAAGTAGACATTTTTAATAATACAGAATTCAGAAGTATGATATATTTATTCATTGATTATTAGGATAACACAGTTTTTATTCCCTAATTCTCTTATTTTAGAATGAGGAAACAGTTTAAGCAGTTATTAGAAGAAACTGGTTATGTAACACCTGGGAAAAGTCTTTCTGAAGTGCGAGTTTTGTTTATGGGAAGAGAATGTTTCGAAGCCCTCTTGGAACCTGATCTGCAAGAGATTTATGATGAACACCAAAAAGATATCACAGAAAGAGCAAAGCAAAATTTTCAAGAACTTTTGTTAGAAAATGCAGAGATTTTCTACCACTTTACAAGTATAGGGCCAGGTAGTGTGATAACACAAGAAGACATTAGCAAAATTACAGAAACTTTAAGGGAAGACTCAAGGTAAGATCAACATCTATCCTTTTTCTTCCTAAAATCCAAACAAGAGGTATAATTAAATTGTAATTTACTTCAATTAAAGACCTCATTAAAAATATTGCTGAAAGAAATCTATCTTTAGCATTTTAAACATTATTTGAAGGAGACACACCGGTAAGCCCCAAACATTAATACACCTTGTGATGAGCATTTTAATGGCTTAGGTTTTTCTCAGGTCTATTGATTGTTATAAGGAAAAAAAATGAAAACATGGTTAATTACTAGTTGTATTATCATTAGATCGTGTTATTATTTATGAAACAATAAGATGTTTTTTAAAATTTTGCTTTCTTTCTTAAGTTCTCATAAACTTTTAAGATTGGAATTTATATATGTTGAAGTAGATATGTACTGTTTGTAGACTACACAAAAATTAGATTTTCAAAACTACTTTTTTATTCTTTTAAAAACAATTGATTAAGATCTGAAGGTTAGAGGAATTAGTTTTGGAATATAAAAAACTTCCAAATTTATGTTTGAAAACTTTCCTCATCATCAAACCATTAGGTTCCTGCTTCAATTAAAAGTTCTTATACATCAATGAGAAATTTTGAATGAAACATTTGAGCACAAAGAGTTACTGAAAGCCCTGTGTGATTTAAAAAATTACTTCATTTAAAACTTTATTCAAAACATTTTTATAAAATGAAACTCGGTTGAGGCATTTACCGTTTCTACACCCATCTAACTTTTTTTTTCTCTGTAATTAGGTAATTTTTTTAGTCTTGAAAGATTAATTGCTAATTTCTGCTGTCAAGTGTTTTTAGTTGAAAACTTTTTCTCAAAGAGAAAGGAGGTAATCATTCAAACATCAGCCTTGGGAGAGAAAAAAAATATCTCATGAAAAATGTCACATATTAGAAAATGAAACATTTAAAACATTGTAAGGGGGTCACTCTGAAGATTGAATTTTTTAGGACCTTTTTTCAGAACCAATCTCATTAAAAGTCATTCAACCAATTAAGATTTAATACTTATAGATTTTTATTTTATTTTTTGCTGTTCATTGTTAGTGTTTAGGAATATTTGTGTTTCTACCTATACTATGGATTTTTCACATTAGTTGATTCTATATAATTTGAGAGTAATTTCTCTTAAATTTTAAAATCTAGATGTGGCTCATTTTCAAGCATTTCTTGATTAATAAAAACCACACAGTTATTTTTTACTTATCTGTGGTCTTTAAAATATTAATATTTATTAAAGCATTATATGCATTGTACAATTTAAATATAAAAACATTATCATATGTTAACAAGGAAAAGAAATTGTGAAACTTATGATCATGATATACAAATTAATAAGTTTTAAAAGTTTTGAAAAAATGTAATATCAAGGTTTTATTGACAAATTCAATTTTGTGAGTATCTTTTGTAGATCTTAACTCTGAAGTTTGTAATTCTATGTAGTTATAATTCATTTTCTTATTACAGTTTTATTTTCAGCATCTTTGTTACTATACCTACACCAGTTTGAGCAGGCTGAAAGATAGTTTGAATATTATATTTTTGGTGTTAAGTTAACTTTCTAACTAATTAAAGAAATCAGGCCTACTGAAGATTTTTTAGTACTCTATTTCACATGTAATCCTATATATATGTAATGAATTTTTGCAATAATTTTGCTATTAAACAAGCTAATTTTTTATAACTGTTTTATTACATCTATTTTGTTAATATATTTTATATATTCTGTGTTCTTCACTGTTTACTATTCCTCCTCTCCTACTTGAAAACTTTAAAAGCCATTCCTAGCAAATACCATAGTTATATATTAAATTTTCATGTTCATATAAATAAGTTCTATAAATTATAAGTATATTTAAGAAATGGTCATGTCATCTGTGAGAATATATTTTAGGCATATCTTCAACTTGTGATGTGTAAATGTGTGTATTTTGGAAGTAAATATACTGGGTACAGAGGAAGTAGCTAAAAGCTACAGTTAGGTTAAAACTATAAAAATTGTTTGATTTCACTGATGGTTTTTTCATTCTTAGTTCACTTCAGATGAACAGATTGTTATTTAAAAGAACTTAGGCTAATGATTTTAAGTAATATAACATTTGTTTTAATCACATATATTTGTAAAATGTATAGATTTAGTTCCACATATAATATATAGAATAGCAGATGATCTGAAGTTTATTGGTTAGGCTAAAATTATAACGATTTATACTTCACTCTTTTCAAAGGTTAAGTAAAATGGCTTGGGATTACTGTTTTCTGGCACTATTTACTTTAACCTTTGTATGCTATAATTGGATTTATCCGACTTGACATTTGTAGCTGTTTGGGGCGACAAGCAGATTTACCCCATGGTGTCACAAAAACTTTTCCTCATAGTGCAAAAAACGGGATACTCGCACATCCTTGCATTTTCTGCCTATGTACTATGTGTGTGTACATCACTGAGCAAAAGTGCAACTAGTGTATTTTGATATTGAAAAAGTACTTAAAAAGGTCAAATTCTAAATTTCATTTTTTAGTGGATAATTGACACGTCTCGAGAACCCACCCAAAATTTAATTACAGACTCAAAGGTTAAAACATTTATGTTTTGAGTTTGGAAGGAATGCAGACTTTGAGCTTTATTAGAATTATGTACTAGAGTGAGTTTACTATCACAGATTGATCTCAAACTTTAAGTTCAGGCAGCACTGTTTAAATACTTTCTTTAAAGTTATTATGAAAATACATAGATCAATTTTGCTAAAATGAAAGTAATCTGTGGAATTTCTAAGGTATTTTTTTAAAACAGAGGCCTAATGTTCAGGAGAAAATTGAAAAAATCTGTTAAGGGATTTGTATTGCATTGCTAAAATTATAAAATTTGACTGTGAAACATAAGTTTAAATTTATATCAGACCTTATATGTTTTGCTTTTTTCTATAGATTGTAATTTATCACATTACTAAGGTTATACATTAAATATCGAGCATGAAGATGGTAAGCTGAAATGTTTTTTATTGTCCATTTTGCCTTTCTATAGGTATAAAGCTTTAGATAGACTAGATCAAGATAGAATGCTTATGCTTCTTCGACACCTAGGTTTTGTGCATGGCCCTATAAAAGAGCATTGTCCAGCATTTCCTAACTGTATGGACAATCTCATTGAAAAAGTCATAGCTCAAAAGGCACATAGGTATGTAAGAAATTTTTAATATACAGACTCTTTCTGTACACAAGTTATTCTTTGATTTTTCAGAACTGTATATGCTATAATTGTATTAAAGTTATTGTGATTTAAAGAGGATTTTTTATGTATATTTTACTATATTTTATCTACTAAACAGCACTCTAAAGAATAAAGATGCAAATGTTAATTGGTTATAAAGTTCTGTTTAAGTGTCTTTAACTTCAGGTTAAGATATTCTGCCATAAAACTTTTGTATTTAAGTAAAGAAAATGCCATAATATTTTCTCCAAGATAAGAGTATTTAACTGGCATATGTCTACTTATACTTAATAGCACAATCATAAGATTAATTATTATAATAAAACAGTTATGAAAGTTTAGATAGCTTCACTCTACTTGATTATATTTTCATATTAACATTCACATAAATAACACTTTAAATTGAATGCAAACTAAACTTAGAAGTTAAATTTCTGTTACTGTAATGGGAATTACTGTTCAGAAAACTGGGGAAAAAAAGGGTACATACAATCTTACTTATGTCACTTGTAAGTCATTTTTAATTATCACAAAATAATTATTCTTAAATGAAGTGAGACACAAGCCAGACACCACCATTGAAATACACACTTGACAGAAGATTATATAACACATTTGTGTAGGCTCAAAATGCTCAACAGCACTGGCAGTATACAGTTCGTGCTTGATGATTTATATCTTACTTAAAGAACTGAAGTACTACTGTTGTTCTACATGCTAATGAATTTGATATGATTATAATTTACTTCCTGCTTTTTAATTTTTGCCACAAATCATAAAATTTTGATTTTCCTCTATATTCTGTAATATCTTAATGAGTATTATTGGTGTCATTCTCACACATCATGCACACATTGTTTATTATGGAACTTGTTTTTAATCTGTTGTTAAATATAAACTGTTTCAAACACCTGACAAAAAAAACAGTTGGTTAAGACATTGCAAGATTAAAATTATTTAGATATTACTTTTACTATTTCTTTGTATAGGTGTATTGATATTTGTCATTAAGAAGTTGTGCAGATATTTAATTTGCAAAATAATTATGCTGTCAAAAAAACAAGTTCTACCTAATCATGTATGTTCGTGTCTCCCATTACTTTTCTTGAACGGTAATCTTCATGGAGCTTCACTATCTTATGATCACTGTGTCAGAGTTATCTTTTGATTAGCATTGTTTTGGTTTTCATTGTTCCATTTCCTATGTTGTACCATAGGGTCCATATGGTACAACATATGGTACCATATGGCAGTGGTTCCAAACCTTTTTCTCTTCGTGAACCCCGTGAGTAATAATAGTTTCAGCAGTAAACCCCTTTTAAGCAGTAATAAATTTTGTAAAATAAAATAACTTTTGAACATGTTGAATTTATTGAAAATAGAGTTTTTATAACACATGGTATGTAACACGTTTACAATAAAATCCTAATCTCTGATATTGTCACCTGTTTGCAGTTAGTACCTAGTAAAATTGAAATATAATTCTTGAAACAAAATAAAATTTAAAATAAAACCATTTAATTAAAACTAATGAGATTTCTGAGCTTGTTTTGAAGAGATAGTCTTATATCAAGCTATTTTCTTCCATAAGTATTTTAATAAATTAGAAGGCAATTAAAATATTGGTAAAAACTGTAAAACCAGGAAAGGGAAAAATTACTAAATTTTTGTTGCGAAACCCTCAGAATTATCTCTCAAAACCCCTAGGTGTTTGCAAACCATTGGTTGAGAAATGTTGGTCTATGGCATATCTTTTTGTATGTTTGCATTGTGTCATAGAATCTACACCATATACTAACCTTTGTCATGTGATTATCACATATTTTTAGCAGGATAATGTGCTTTCACAGAAATTTTGGGAAAATTCTAAGACTTCTTTAACATTCGCTGCTTTACCTCTGCATCTGTATATTGCTTTTTAGCCATGATAGATTTGAAAAAAAAAGTATCAACTATGCTTTCACATGCATAAGAGGTTTCCCTCCCTATCATCATAAAAAAAAAAATCAAAGTAGTGAATGTGGAAAAAATCCCCAATTGATTCTAAGTAAGTTTTGAATACTGGGTGCTTTTCAAGTGTGTACTACATGTGTATCTACATCAAGATGAATTATGTAATTGAGAGGAGTAGGGCTAAAAACATTGTGTAATCAATTCTTTTATTGCTACTAAGAGATGTATGAGTATAATGTCAAAGAACAAAGATTCTGCTATGAAATCATAAGCTATCCATTTTTAGTGGCTTTGTAACTATAACCAAAACTACAACATTATAAGAATATTAACAATAAAAATAAAAATTACTGCACTAGGAATAAGCATTGCTGCTGCTGTTAAGGTGTTAAGATTTT